TATATTTTTAGTTATTTTGCATTGTTAGGAGGTATTGAAGCTTCTATTCTGTCATTCTTTTTAATCGGCACTATTTCTTGCTATTTGAAATCGGTAGTTAATTTACAAGTGAACAAAGTGATATTTGAAGTATATAAAAAACAGTTTCATTATAATTTTCTCATTTCAAGTCACTCCAGTCCAGAGATCCCAAATCTCACGATTTATCGTGAGATCTCAAAATTTAGTACTGAGTCTCACGATCTCACAATAATACGCCTTATTCCCACGATATTTTTAAACAAGCTGCCTACAGTAACGAACCCTAAGTTTTTATGTAAAAACAATTATTTCTAATTAATCATATAATTGAATTATGTTGTAGAGTCCGACTCTGGAACGCTTCCCAGACAACACACCAAATCCCAGAGATTGGCGTAATTTTTTAATAATTTGCTATATAATTACTATTATTTATGGACATTTGCATGTCTATAAATTACATTTCATGGATATAAAATAGATATCTACCATGGACTGAACATTCAGTGGATATTGGGATTTTCAGTAGATATCCAAAGGATTTGGTGTGCTGTCTGGGTTTGGCCGAAACATGGCAGACGACTGACACTTGACAGTCTCAGCGGTGGTTCCTGACTGTTGTATTTGCAGGCTTGCAGTGTTCAATTCCCTAACCACCTATTCCTAACAAATTTAATATTTTTATAATATGAAAATTCAAAATAAGTATTTTGAGACATTTGGATGGTTCCGGAGAAACAAAAATCCTCTCTTACTCCCAAAAAATATGTTAGTGTTTTTGAGTTTTAATCTCCGAAAGGAGAACCAAAATGACATAAAATTATTTTTGTCTTTTTCTATTATATTATACGTCTACAGAGTACATATTAATCGAAAATGCTGTATATTTTACCAAATTGCTCATCATGATTCTTTCATGATCAAATTCACGATTTTAGGTTCAGTAGATCTAGGATCCCTGCTCCAGTCGATGAGCAGGCAATGGGAGTGTTAATTTGTTATTAGGTGGAATTATTTTTTCCAAATTTTAATAACTAATAACACAAGTCTCCGAGACCCCTCGTATTCGCGTTTCTTGCGTTTTCGTATCACGCATTCTCGTCTTCTGTTAGTGGGCAATTCGTGAAGCGATCCCGGCGCTCAAGTCTGACCGATATAAAAGCCAGGTGAATAGAAGATTGGAAAGGTTCTCTTTCAACACGATTATGTTTAAAATTTAATGTCACATAGGCACTAAATATGATAAATTATATGTTATCGTCAATATTATCTAGTTTATCTTTAATATCGTACTGTGCTGGTGACAAATACATATATTTAGTAACTTTTATTATTTTATTTGGTTTCATTGTATAATTTAGCGATATATGACTACTAAAATGCGAGGGGGTCACCATTTTGCCATGTGCGCTTGATTTTTAAATATTAATAACATTATAGTTATTAATTTGTTTTATAGATAATTACAGTTCAAATTATTGTTCCGCTTTTGTTTTTATCTTTGTTTTCTTTCAATATTTTACATTTTTATTTTAATTTTATTCTATACTGTTTCGGCTGTGTAAAGCTGTTTTTATATAATTTGCAAGTTAGTTTGGAAAATTAAAACGTATCTACGTGCCTCAAAATGATTCATATAACTATATTTAGATCATGTAATTCTAATATTTGTGTTTATATTACTTTTTTCGCATACGTGCGATTGTTTTTCGTTAAGAGAGAAGGTGCGATAGATTTTCAAACTACCCTGTGTGTATGTTCTACGAGTTACTTCTTCTTTTATTTTAAACACTATAATAACTCCAAGAACCCAGAAGTATCTCCAATATCTTCAATAGAATCTCCAGTATCTACAGTAGTAGCTACTTACTCAAATCATATTTTAGCTGAAAATCATTCTTTTACAGACAACTTTGAAATTTTACATGTAGAAAATAAGAGCCTTAAATTAAACCATTTAGAAACACTTGAAATAAATAGATTTAAAAATTCAGATAACTTACTAAATGATCAATTAGATATTAATAATTCACCCTTATTAAATCTCTTTCCCAGTTTTCTGTGAGCTAATCCCGGTAATGGGCTATCTTATTGTTATCTGATGGATATTATAATTACCTAAGTACCCTTATTTACTTTAAATAGTTAGTTTATTTTGTAATGTTATTGATGTTTTCTTAAGTACTTTGTTTTGTTAAATTATTTCGTATATATATTGGATACCGAATTGTAAATAGTCACATTTGAAAAAGAAGTTGTACTTCGAAACATATGTCATGTTAGTGTTTTTTTAAAAATTTTTTATTTTTAAAATAAAAGTGTGAAAATCTACCAAATTTGGTTTTACTCTTTCAAAAATACAGTAGTAGCTCCAGTATCTTAAGTAGTATCCCCAGAATCTTTTGTAGTATCCCCAGTATCTTCTGTAGTCTCTCCAGTATCTTCAGTAGTATTTCCAGTATCTTCAGTAGTATCACTAATATCTTCAGTAGTATTATCAGAATCTACTGTAGTATCCCCAGTATCTTCTGTAGTCTCTCCAGTATCTTCAGTAGTATCTTCAGTAGTATCACTAATATCTTCAGTAATATATCTAATATCTCAAGTAGTACCTCTATCATTGGCTCTAATATCCTGAGTCCGAGCTTGTTACAATTGCCCCCGTACCGGCTACATCGAGGGACTAGTAAACTTTAGGAAAGAACTACATATCGGTGATTTCATAACCGAAAATCGTAATACTTTATCGTAAACTACTGTCAACATTTTACTCAGTTTATGTATTTATTTTAATTCTCTTTACCTACATTCCCTATTGGCTTACTTTGAGGTATCAAAGATGGACTCAATAACCGAGACATTTACATTCAAGTTTCCTAAGTTTTGTGAAACTTGGTGGCCCTTAACTTTTATTTGGTGTTATCTACTATTTTCCTTTTATCTTAGCGTAACTTAAAGTAGAGCAGGTTATACTACTTCTGGATATACTTGTACTGGTCAATTTTGAGAACCCACGTGATACCACCAATTTTAGGCTTAATCACGAAAAATATTAATACCGTAGAATTCATTATAGACTCAGTAAAACCTGAAACTTTCAAATATATTTTTTTACTACATTTTCCCATTTTGTTTCTTTCCAGTGTGTATTTATTTATAATATTTAAATAAATAATTATTTAAATTGTTCTTCTAACTTTGACCATTTTTCTTTGAAAAGTTTCCCATCGGAGTTTCTCAAATAAAATTGCGTATGCCACTGTCTTCTTGCGATCATTGATCGTGGGAGTCGCATGGTGGAAACCCTCGAAATTTGGCTTACCCCGACAAGATTTAATCAAATGTAACAGATTTGCTACAACAAGCCAATATATTGAGGGTTGCTCAAAGGCATTATCCCCCTGCGAACTAATGTATTCGATACATTTAGCGGCGTCGTTTTTTTTATGTGAATGGCCCTAGGGCCAAATGACACGATATCATAATACAAATTTCGAATTAGAAATTTCTAAATGGTCTAAAATAAATTATATGAAAAGCTTGATTGAGTTTTTTATCAAAATGAGGATAAGGTATTGAGATAGGTACCCTATCGAGAAAAATGTATTTATATCAATAAAATAATAGGTAAACTTATTTTTTTTGTCCATAAGTTAAAAGATTCTAATTTTAATGAATATATCCGCTTTGCGCTCGATCTACCTGAAATCGACCAGTTTGCGCTCTGCGATTTTTTTTAATATACCTACCCTATTTTTTCCGATTGACCGATTTGCGCTCTCTTGCAATATCATTTTAAATTCATACCATAACGTTTTACAATTAACAAAAAAAGAAAAATTAGTTTTAAAGAACACCTGATACTATAAGAAAAATAATAATAATAAACCATCTTCATCAATGCTTCACTTCTGTATCTGCAACACTAGGTTTACAAAGTATATCTAATCTGTTGTTCTTCATAATTATATTGCCTCGACATTTTTGCAGATTTTTCTTTCAAAAATAGAATCATCTCAATTTGTTTTATTAGACGATGAGTGGATGAAACTGCAGAGTTGCCAGGAAGCTTTTAAATTCTCCTGGCTACAGCAAACAAATACTTGACTATGCTTAAACAGAATCTGCGCCTGATCACAGACATTCTGACTGATCATTTCCAAGTACAGAAGTATCCCTTCATTGCATGGAGCTGTCAGAATCCGCACTATACAGGGGGTGTGCACAAGATAAGATGAGACCATCGACCATATCCTCTACGATTGCCTGACGCTCTCATTTACTAAAAGACTTGTATCGAGTATCGGGTAACACCGGCCGATATAAGAGAAGCACCTGTCGGTGACGTTGTCAACTCCATTAAATCTGTAGGCTGATTCAAGAGCTAGGAGGTGCCTGTCAACTTAAGAGGATGCATAATGAGCCTAGTGAGGCCTAAGTGCCATGGGTTAACTCACCCTCCACACGTTACAGATACAGATAGATGATGGGTTAAAAATATATTCAGTACAGCTATAATCTTTTGATATTTGAAATGTGATGTTCTTCTTAAAAACAATAATTTAAAATTATATTACAAGAGACCGCAAATGAGTCGACCGATGTTAATAGGGTAGGTATACAATTTTGGTATTATAAAAATCGCAGAATGCAAACTTGTCCAATGGACCAATTGAAGTGCTCGGGGAACAATGTACATAAGCCACATTTGGTTAAATCCTGAAATAAGATATGTATTTTCAAACGAACTATTTTATGTGATATGTATGGAGGACTGGTTTATTTATCAGCTTCTAACAAAAAAATTGTTAATTTGTTTTTAAAAACGGATATATTCTTCAAAATGGAAAAAATGTGGCTTGTGACCTTTACGCCTTTAAAAAGTTATTACGTATTTTTGAAATAAAAAGATCCACAAATAACAAGTGAATAAGATATATTAAAAATAAAAGGAACAAAAACTTGGATTCTGAATACTTCTAAACCTCTTCGTCAAAGTCTATATTAGGTTCACCATCAACACATTGCACGTCATTATATTCTGTACCTATATCCTCAGTAGCGACATTAGAAGCGGTTTTAAAAATATTTAGGTAGAAGTTTTGGTTAACAGGAGGTATATATTGCATGAGCTTCTTCAAGTCTTCCACTTTCTTACTGTTTAGCTGTACAGGCTCATTATATTTTTTTTTCAAGTTCTCCAAAATTCCGTTGGACTGTTGGCAAAGCCTATTTCCACGTTTTCCAATATTTACCTGTTTAAAATTTCCATTCAATTCATGTTTCACTAACATTTTATTCGGATTTTGAGACTCGAAGTGGAAACACAGTACCTTATTAAACTGTAGAGGACCTTTATCATCAGTCACGTTTTTCTTTGATATAGGGATGCTGTCCAAAGAAAAAATCACTTTGTTCCATAATGAACACATCAAATGTTTGCTCTTTTGGACAGCTTTGAACCAATCTTTGGAAGAATAAATCTGGCCCAAGTATTTTTTATGCTTCGCTATGAGCGCGAAGTCACAATCACATGGTAGATAAGTGTGACCGGAAATAAGAAACCTGTGCTCAATAATTCTAAATTTATTTTCTCTCACGAGCTGCGACCAGAGAGACATGATTTGCCAATTTTTATTCTTGTCATTGTCTGTAAAAACCACAAGATCTTTTTGGCCAGTTGTATTTTTGGAAGAAATATACTTTAGCAGGATACTAGCGATTTCTTCACTACCTTGCTTCGCTGTTATTTCCGGCCACATGAACATGGTTGCTTTTCCACTCACGTAATCATGAACACCTAAATTATAGGTAGGCAAATAAAAGGCAGGACCAACAATTAAACTTGGTGTAGGAAGTGTTTGTTGTAAATCAAAAGTAAGCACAATTTTATCTCCTTTAGTTTTTGATGATTCCACTTCCTCTCTCAAGCTGTTCTGCATGGCAGCTGCTTGCCTATGATGAAGGTCTCGTTGAGTTTTTAATCTTTTTACTTCATCATTGTTTTTATTATTTTCTTCTGTCTGGATCAAAATATTTAGGGAGTCACATGTATGGCACGTATCGCTTTTTGGAAATTTAAAGCGATATTGTATTTATTACAGAATATCCTTCGATACATACCTTCTTTTACTGGTGTAATGTTTTAATCTTTACACCAGTCAAGGTAATCTTTGTACAGAGAAGAGATGGAAACGTCGTGATCCAAGTATACTCTGTTGGGATTCTTCTTTCTACTGTAATGGCTAACATATTTTGGAAAAGCCTTGATGTGATCAAGGGCAGATTGTACTTGCTAATATGGAATCCTATTGGCTTTTCTCGTGCGTCATTTGTTGGAACACTTCTTCCTTCTGCAATCTGTTTACAAAGAAGTCGTACTTTTAGAAGAGTTTTGTAATCCATGCACGGATAAAAACTCTTGTTTAGAGATTTGTATATCTAAGCCATTTAACTTTACTAAATATTGATAATTTACTTTCCTGGAGGATTCTTGCCTTTTTGTTTTTTTCCTATATGAACGTTTTTTCGATACGGCTTTAATAGATCCAAATGAATAAGTGTTTTAATAATAATAATAATAATAATAATAATAATAATAATAATAATAATAATAATAAAAATAATAATAATAATAATAATAATAATAATAATAATAATAATAATAATAATAATAATAATAATAATAATAATAATAATAATAATAATAATAATAATAATAATAATAATAATAATAATAATAATAATAATAATAATAATAATAATAATAATAATAATAATAATAATAATAATAATAATAATAATAATAATAATAATAATAATAATAATAATAATAATAATAATAATAATAATAATAATAATAATAATAATAATAATAATAATAATAATAATAATAATAATAATAATAATAATAATAATAATAATAATAATAATAATAATAATAATAATAATAATAATAATAATAATAATAATAATAATAATAATAATAATAATAATAATAATAATAATAATAATAATAATAATAATAATAATAATAATAATAATAATAATAATAATAATAATAATAATAATAATAATAATAATAATAATAATAATAATAATAATAATAATAATAATAATAATAATAATAATAATAATAATAATAATAATAATAATAATAATAATAATAATAATAATAATAATAATAATAATAATAATAATAATAATAATAATAATAATAATAATAATAATAATAATAATAATAATAATAATAATAATAATAATAATAATAATAATAATAATAATAATAATAATAATAATAATAATAATAATAATAATAATAATAATAATAATAATAATAATAATAATAATAATAATAATAATAATAATAATAATAATAATAATAATAATAATAATAATAATAATAATAATAATAATAATAATAATAATAATAATAATAATAATAATAATAATAATAATAATAATAATAATAATAATAATAATAATAATAATAATAATAATAATAATAATAATAATAATAATAATAATAATAATAATAATAATAATAATAATAATAATAATAATAATAATAATAATAATAATAATAATAATAATAATAATAATAATAATAATAATAATAATAATAATAATAATAATAATAATAATAATAATAATAATAATAATAATAATAATAATAATAATAATAATAATAATAATAATAATAATAATAATAATAATAATAATAATAATAATAATAATAATAATAATAATAATAATAATAATAATAATAATAATAATAATAATAATAATAATAATAATAATAATAATAATAATAATAATAATAATAATAATAATAATAATAATAATAATAATAATAATAATAATAATAATAATAATAATAATAATAATAATAATAATAATAATAATAATAATAATAATAATAATAATAATAATAATAATAATAATAATAATAATAATAATAATAATAATAATAATAATAATAATAATAATAATAATAATAATAATAATAATAATAATAATAATAATAATAATAATAATAATAATAATAATAATAATAATAATAATAATAATAATAATAATAATAATAATAATAATAATAATAATAATAATAATAATAATAATAATAATAATAATAATAATAATAATAATAATAATAATAATAATAATAATAATAATAATAATAATAGGAATAATACTCTCCCTAATTCACCACCTTACGAGTGAATTTTAACCCCAAAAACTGAACTTGTGCGGGGAAAGGGACATTATTATTATTTGATTGATGGTGCCATTTGACTTACAGGTGAGGAAAACCTCACCCACCATCATCGAGACAGTATATCATGGCGAATTTATAATCTGCATGTCATATCAACAGAAATTGAATTTCTATTAATACGGCACACATCAAATCCTATACCAAACCATGCAATTTAATTAAAAATCCACATGGTCTGGTCTGGGATTCGAAGACCGGCAGTCTCTGACATAAACTTGCCTATAAATGAATATAAACGCGTTAGACTGCTACACCACCGACCCGATGTTCTTTATAAGATCCCAAATTCCAAAAGTAGTTAAAAATGTCCTTTTCCTTTCCAATTATCTTCCCTCTACACTTCTTCTGACATTTGCAGGGAGGACCAATCTTCCTAACTTCAACTTTCTTTCCTCTACTACTATCATAAGAGTGTCCCAGGTTTCGCTTGATTTGGCTTTTTCTTTTTTTCTTCTTTGAATATTTTGTTTTCGCCATCGTGACGGAGTAGCTTTATCGGGTGTTTCTAATACGCCTCTTGATACATCAGCTTCATTATCTTGGGAATGGGACTGTAAAAAAAATTACTAAATACTTTATGATTTTTTTGGACTCAAAAATGGCACAAGCTACATAAAACGGGCAATACATTTTTTAAGAAATAACTGGCTAAATTAGTGTTAACGTGTACTAGAAATTTATTTTATAGTTACTTTATTATTTTCTTATACAAATAATTATTAACAATGGGTTTCAAACACTTTTCGTTTTACAGTCGGCTGCCTCTGTTCCGCCATGTTGCTTTTTAGGTGGCATATGACCTTCTAGGCTAGAAAAATGCCTGCTGCTATTTAATTTGGGCAACAAGAATCTACAGGTTTGGTGGCGCCATCTTTTCGAGCACTCTAGAAATATTTTCACGGTGGCTTCTGACCTTCTTGAGAAAGTATTCTATAAACAAATCTATTTTTTAAGCTATTGCATAGCTTTTATCGCGGGCTTTGAGCGCGGCGACCGAATCAAGAAATTTCCGTAACGACCGTAACGAAAATAACCTAACACCCCCCACTCCGACCGGCACAGCGGTGTAGCGTTGAATGCCGTGGAAGGTTTTATCCGAATCCGACCCTATTCGTATTAGAATGAAGCGGAGTTAAATATACGTCTGCGGACTGGAACGTTTATGCAATACAAGAACTAGAAGTTAAGTAATAATGATACTTTTATAGTTTTTAAATCATATATTTATGTGATTCCATTAAATTACAATGTAGGTATCATTTGACATGATAAAATTTTGTTTCCAATTTATTTTTGTTTAATAAAAAGTAATAATTCGTAAATATTTGTAAGCAAATGTTATATATTAGTATAAACGATTCCAAACTTACGGCACAGAGCGTACAGTGGTCAAAATTTGGATAGTGTGGATAGCAAAGTTGGTGGTTCGAGCCCCGAAACTTTTAGTCTTTTTTTGTTTTTTTTTTTTTTTTAAATAGGAAAAATATTATTGTTTTATTATTTCACAGTCTTGGTAATTTAAAATGTTTAGTTTTTAAAAATTATATACTTATTCAATGCATAGTGGCGCATAACGAAGTTCATTCAAGTTCAGCTAATTTTAAAAATGCAAGCTACCACTGGAGACTTCGTTTATTTAAATTCAAAAAGATAAACAAATAGGAAATATATTTTTTTTCAATAAGTACAACAATATTAACTTCTCATTTATTCAATAAATGAAAAAAATTTGTTTCCTTATCGGTCACCACGCTCAAAAAGTGTAACTTGAATTAATATCAAAGAAAAAACTTTAATTAATATCAAAGAAAAAAACACTGCATAAATAAAATAAATAAATAATTATAATTGCATAAGTTGATAAAATATGCTATGCAATAGCTTTACCGCGGCAGTCCCCGAGTGCCACACGTATTTTTTTTTTTTAATGTGGCCTGTGTACCTTGTTCCTCCAAGCACTTCAATTTTAACATCGCAGACGTCCAGTGTAAATTGCCTGTGTTAACTGACTGTTGTCAGACTGTTGTCCTAGAGCTGATGAAAGGAACTGCAAACAAGATCAGAGTTGAAAAACGAGCACTGGAATATCAAATTTAACAGATTTCCAAACGCAAAATATTTAGAAGAACACAGGCACGCACGTAGTAGAAAGAATAGCTTCATTAAAATGAAAATGGACTGAATCATAAGCCTACTTAATTTAGGTGACTGTAACTGAACTTGTTACGAGAATAACCGATGACAGCCGAACTAAAGACAATCTCACAGAAGCAAATGATGCGTTTAGTTTCTTCTTAGAGAATTTAATTTATGTATTGTTCTAAGATGGAATCTTGGATTAATCTGCAATTATTTTAAGTTGTGAAGTTCGAGTAATTATATGGTCCTTTGGTGCAAAGTCAATTAACCTGTTTTGTCTCCTTTAGTGGGTTGTATTTTAGTAACATTGATAACAATAAAACATTTAATGCAACTAATAGGTAAATATCTTCGAACAGAATAAATTAAAGACTAATATTAGAAGCAGTATCAGTTGGTACATGAGGACTCTAGGTTAGTCCTCTTCCTGTCAAATACTCCTTATCCGCTTAAATAACTAAAAAAAAAAAATTTCTTCTATTCTAATTCCTGCATAGCACCATTTAATCAACAATCTGCTTATAATCTTTAATTCAATTGTTCTTTGCGACCAGGGTCGGACTGGCTAAATTTGGCCCCATCGGCACCACGAGTAATTGGCCCCCATCCCACTTTATTTGACCAACTCGATTATTCTCATAAAGGTAATTAATCACATTTAAGACAAAAATATTTAGAATTTATATATTAAAAAGTAGTGTTAAAATAGATAGTCCAAAATCATGAAATTTCAAGTACTTTGCGACCGTTTCAAATAATCTAAAAAATCTGTAAAATAATGCGTTTAAAACATAATATAGATACTGTGTAGGTGTAGGTAATAAATAAAAAATAAAGGTTAATTTTTATATAAAAAATTTTTAGTTATTTAAATAAACAACAAAACAAAAAAAATTTAGATATTAAAACCAAAATAAATAAAAATAAAAGTAAAAAAAGGAAAAAATCACAAATTAACATTAAAAAAAACCGGCTTCCATAAACAACAACAAATAAGAAAATAAATATTACATAGTCAAAAATAGGAGTGCAAATAAATAAGTACTATTTGACTAAATCTGACTAAAAATTTCTATAACAAAATATAACGTTGTCAACAGACATAAATAATTAAAATAAACATGTACACGTACAAAATCACAAAACAAAATAAAACTACCATTCTTAAAGAACATAACAAAAATAAAAAAAAATAGACTATTAATGATATGTATACACAATCAGAAAAAACGAAGCTTAAAAAGTCAAAGCTTTATAATAAAATGAGCTTGTGGAAGCTAACTTATCGATAATTTTTTCTGGGTTAATACTATTAAAGATGTCTCTTTCCGTATTCATTAATATTAGGGCCTGCAATAATTCTTGGCCTAACAAAGATCTAAGTCTATTTTTAATTATTTTTAATAGAGAAAATACTCGTTCGCATGCCACTAGGGTGCAAGATAAAGTAATTAAAAACTTATAAGCAATATACACATTTGAAAAAGTGGATATATGCATATTGTATTCTCTTCAAATTTTAAAAGTACAGTGTACGCAACCTACTCATTTATTTGTTTCAGACTTATTTATGCAGAGGTCCGTTTTTAGATTTTTTTTTTATTATCCGGGTATATTTGTGTGAAACTCAATAAATCATTTTTTAATTCTACATTATCGATCCCAATCTTTCTGCAATATCAGTCACTTAATAAATCCAAGCTTTTAAAATTTCTGGTGTCAAGGTCTGAAAAATCTTCATAAATTTGTTTGTTGGCTTCAGATTTCTGACTTATACTTTGAATTGTCTGATTAATTACTGATTTAAATACTTCAACTTCAAATTTTTTCATTGGATCAATAATAATGGAATCTTCAGTTGTTTCGCCTACCATACGTTTCCTTCCTCTTAACCTTTGTTGTGGCAGCTCGTGTTCAATTACAATATCTTTGTTTCTAATGGTCTCAATTTGATTTATATAATTTAAAAATGCATTCGTCTTTTTAACAATTAAAATTTGTCATATATTTCATTTAGCATTGCTTTCAGATTTGTTACCAAATGGTATGCTTGGATAAAATCAATACTTTCTGTCTCAAGATAATTTGAGGCGGGAGTCACGTATTCAAAATTTTTTATCATGATAAATGATATTAAAAGAGTTTCATATTTGCAGAAATATATAAAAAAAACAAGTATCAACGTAGAACAAATTGTCTCAGCAGCCTAGACTACGTCTAGATGCACCAATGTTGCCAGATTTCCTAGATTTCGTTAAATTATTGTAAACAACATTTTTATGATGGTGGTTTGATTTATCTCTAGTGCTTGACCGTTGGCCCCCAAAAGGGTTTAGTCCCGTCGGCAAATGCCGACTTGCCGACCGGGCCAGTCCGACACTGTTTGCGACCCCTTTTCAGTTGTTTTTGTATGATTGTTAGAGCTTTTTTCAGTTTTTTTTTACAATTGCTAGAGTTGGCGATTGGAGTTTATTTTTTTTGTTCTTCAGTTGATTTTGTGTGACTGCTAGACCTATTTTATCTTCATTTGTTTTCTTCTTCTGGAGCTTTTTGTGTTAAAATTTTGGCTCGATAATTAGCAAAACTTTACGGTTCGGTCAACCACAAACAAAGCTTTAACACGAACATCGTAGAAAATTAGTCACTGTTTTATGTTTATTAAGCAATTATTAATTTTAAACAACTAGCGCGGTAAACAATAATTGTTCTAATTAAAGCTATGAAGTCGACTAAATATTTTTCCAAGAATACTTAATTTTATCAAGATGGTATGTACCCTTCGTTGAAATTCAAAAATTTTAATTGCGTTTCTGTAGTCGTGTTGAACTAACTAACTACTTTAATACTTTTTTTCCTCGAGAAATTATTATCAAGATGCGGGCGAGCACCATTACGGAATAAACCATTCATAAATTAATGATTGTTTCATAAAAATAGTAAGTGTAATATTATAATCCTATTAGATGAACATTTTAAACGCCTTGTATTTAAAAACGGATTTATATAAAATGTAACTAAAAGTGTTTCATTATTGCTCCCATAAAACAAAGTTTGATATTGTATTTAGTACTGCCTATTTAGTACTATCTATTTAATACGGTCTTTTTACTACTGTCTATTTAATAATATCTATTAAATACTGTCTATTTAATAGTTTATTAAGTTATACTATCTATTTAATACTCTATTAAATATGTCTATTTAATATTGTCTAATACTGTTTATTTAATACTGTCTACTTAATACTGTCTATTTAATACTATCTATTTAATACTATCTATTTAATACTGTCTATTTAATACTGTCTATTTAATACTGTCTGTTTAATTGTGACTATGTATTACTCTCTATTTATCACAATCTATTTAGTACTGTCTATTTAATACTGTCTATTTTTTATTGTCTATTTAGTACTGTCTATTTAATACTGTCTATTTTTTATTGTCTATTTAATACTGTCTATTTTTTACTGTCTATTTTTTACTGTCTATTTTTTACTGTCTATCTAATATACTGTCTATTTAATACTGTCTATTTAATACTGTCTATTTAATAATGTCTGTTTAATTGTGACTATTTATTACTGTCTATTTATTACAATCTATTTAGTACTATTTAATACTGTCGATTTAAAACTGTATTTAATACCGTATATTTAATACTGTCTTTTTAATAATGACAATTTTATACTGTATATTAACATCACGATCGTCTTCAATTAACCAAATAAAAAAGTATCTTCTGGAAACTGAGAGGCTCGTATTTGTAATAATTTAGTATACAATAACGCTCAAAGCTGCATGTACTCGTAATCTGTTTTAGCAACTTAACTCGATAAGTGACTAGTAGAAGTAGATATATATTATAATATAGGACATCATAGGAATGTTAGTAATTTAGCAATTTAACTAATTATAGAAATGCAAGTTCAGAAATGACCTTTGAAGAATACTGAGAAATAGAAGAACATCAGAATAATTCACAATTAGCAAAATATAAAATAGAAAGTACGTAAGAATAAAACAATAATGATGGGAAATATTTGAAACAATTCTAGGCCTTATTCAAAATGTATTTGCTCGTTTTACCGATTGCAGATCAAACATTAAAGATATGTACAGGTTCATCCAGATCATTGTGGTACCCAGTAAATAATACGACACTGAGATAAATATGACATATTTAAAGGATATCAGAATTATAATAATATAAGTGGTTGGATCCAGATCTATTATAGAAAGACCCAAAATTATAGATAGAGGATGATATTAAACTAACTACCTAGACTAATTTTATTTACAAAAATGGAATTAAAAACATTCGCAGTGTCATGCACGTAGTTGTTAAATAATTATGAGAGAGTATGGGATGGTTTATGGTTATAATTCGGTATTGAGTAAACATAAGGCTCTAAAGTGCACAAAAAGCTTTGAAAATTACATTAGAGAAGTATATTTTACATCCTTAATGCCAGTTATTATCAATTTAATATATATTTTTTTTCGCAACTATTATAGTTGTATAGTGTTTATCAGAATAGTACGCAATTAATTTTTAAGTGTGACAGCAGTGTAAAGCAAGCTTAGTAGTTGGCTCCTCAGATAAACATACTCGCACCAAGCATCCCCACTCAAATTAGCAGTTGTCTCCTTCTTTCTAATGCGGTAGCGGATGCGACAGCTCTCTCTCTCTCTCTCTCTCTCTCTCTCTCTCTCTCTCTCTCTCTCTCTCTCTCTCTCTCTCTCTCTCTCTGCGTAATATCAAACAATATGAAGGATTGCAATAAAAAAGAGCTTAATTATAAATGAATGGATTAGTCTGGTAGTTTTTCGTCTTTGGTAATAAGAAACACGTATTTGGTCCTAAAATATTGATACAATTTGCAATTGAGTTCTTATCATTTCCCATTTGATTTGGGATTCATTGATTTTTTGTTATTAATTTCATTTGCTAATGGTTTCAGTCCTATATTTGTTTGCATTACGAGTATAGTGAAGAAAGTGATGATGTTTTCATCATTAAAACAATAGAAAAGTAAAAAGTACAGGAGGTACCTACTACAAGAGGTACAACCGTAGTTGTTTTGAAATAAGTAGAGTTGACTCCTTCTGGTATTTCTCATTATTTAATTCGTTAGGTAAGTACTATTTTGAGAAACAGTGGGCTGAGACCAGAGATAACGAGGAGATGTAGGTACTAACAAATATCGTGCAGCCCTAAATAAGACATATTCTAAGGGACACAGATGGGTATAATATCCGCTGTTGTCATATGCATATTTCATTATTCTCGTTTTGTTTACAAAACTATTGATATATATTTAAAAAGCTAAAATAATTCAACCTATTTTATTGCAACTGAACCCAAAAAAATTGAATATTAGTTATATTAAATTTAACTAAATTAGATGTAATTTCACTAAATTGGATCTAATAATTTTTAATAAATTCCAAAATCTAGTGAAGTTAGGTTGGAAGTGGTAACAAGACTTACACCGGCATGGAAATGTACGTTGTGTATTACAAGCGCGCAGAGGCTTACACATTTATTCATTGATAAAAATAAGTCGTTTCTGCGTAAAATTCTTCTCTTTATCCCTTCTCTTACTTCTCACCTTTCGTCGCCTCGCCCCGCGTCTAGAAATAGAATGTATCAATTATCGAATTAATGTTGGTATCGTGAATATTATATTTTATCAATAACTGCTTACATCTCTGTTATCTCTAGCTGAGACTATCATCTTGTTAAATTCCTTTGTTCATTTAATTTTTTCTGATCTTTCTTCCGATATTTGAACTTTTATAAACGCTCTATTATTTATTATTAATGCCTTCGGTATATTTATTTTCTTTAGGCATATCCATATTATTTTCCTTTCTATTGAGCCAAACGCCACTAGATTCATAAATGATACCCAAGTAACAATTTGATATTTTATAAAAGCTGAAAAAATGTTTACAGAACAAAATTTATAAAATAGAATATTAGCTAAAAACATTTCCGGAACATTCTTTCAACAGTAATAAACACAAAATGGGCGCAGTATTACAGAACTATTTGGTTCTTTTGTAAATTCTATAAGATTTGTTGAATGCAGTTATCGAACAGTTACTACACATTTACACAGACTTTAAACAAATGTTTTTTTAAACTTTCATAACTGTTTCATAAATTTTCAATTTTGATGTTAGGTTGTATATCAAAATCAGTAACATTTTAGTTTTTTAAATGTATCTGGTGAAAACAAATTAATTCTATATTTGTCATAAAAGTAAATTCAAGGCGATATTAGTAAAATGGCAGTATCTACTTAAGAGATATCTATAACGCGGTTTAGACATAATGTATGACCTACAATAAAGTCGTTTTTGGATGCGCAGCAAGAATTACTGTTAATTATATAGCACATACAATACTAAATTTTTAAGCTCCTCGAGTTTGATTCATATTTCTAATACTTTCTCAGTGTGAAATAAAAATTAAATTTATGAAATTTGATTTTTTTTAGTAATAAGATTATGCTAATATTACTAATGATTAAAATCTTTAATTAACATTGGTTTTGTCTTAAATACTAGTAAAATTGACAGTAGATTTAGCTTTAAAACTGTCTTAGGTTTTTGTTGAATATGGCGGCTATTCAGAGGTATTAGAAAGTTATTTTAAGACTGAATCATAATTATAAAATATTATTCTAGTAAAAACAGCTGTAATACAATAATTAAGTTGTATTACTCATTTCTACAAAACAAGTTCATCATGGTTTGTTGTATAATAGTTTCATATTGCTGCACTATATGACAAAATATAACATAACCTTACTAAATCGTTTCCGATTTAAGTATTTGGGAATTGAAATGATTAGATTTGTTTCTACAGCTTTATAGAGCAAGCATAATTTTTAATATTACGAGAATAAGCAAATTTAACATGGACATCGCCAAAAATATGGCTTTCTTTTAGTATTGGGGCATGATTATTCAGAACATACCTAATTATTATCTGGCTAAATGATAGTTTTTTTTTGAGTGTCTAGACAAACCATCAAAATGTTTTACTAATATTTTTTACTGTTCTCTGAAAAGCAGGTACCACTTATTTTTTATATTTCTTCACTATTTA